CCTAAGTCTGTTGGGAGCAAGGAGAGTCTGCGGGTAGTTCCCAGGTGTGTGTGAAGCTTGTTCATTCTTGGGGGCTGCCACCACAGGTAGTTCCAGTGAAGTCCCCATCCCGAAAGGACATCTTGGAAGGTGTCAAGAGGACCCTCAGCTACTTCCGTGTGGTGGCCATGGGCTCTGGCTGTGCCCTGGTCCAGCTGCAGCCACTGACAGGTGGGTCTGGAGCCCCAGCCAGACTTGACAAATGGTATTTGGCTGGAGGAGGCAGGAGGTGGGAGGGTGGTGGTAGTTTTAGTGGCAGCCTGGGGAGCCTTTGATGGACTGTAAGGATGTATGTGACCAGCTCCACCTGGAGGGGCAGTGCTTCTCCTATCAGTCTGATGGTCACCCCTCTGCAGCTCACCTGTTTTTTCTCTTAGTTATCGATCTCAACGTCTTCTCTTTACCTTTGATGTTCTGTAGTTTCACTATGGTGAATCCAGGTGTGTGGGTTTAGTTTTATTTATCTTGCTTGGGATTCACTGTGTTTCCTGAGTCTGAAGATTAATCTCTTTCACCCATCCTGGAAAGTTCCCTTTTCAAATGTGCCTCTTGCATCCTTCCTTTTGAATGCCTGATAGACGTCTGACTTTCTCATTCTACTGCTGTGTCTCAACTTTTCTTTCACATTTTTCATGTCTTTATCTCTGCCGCTTTCTGGGTAATCTTTAGATCTACCTTCCAGTTGAGTAATTTTCTCTTCCACTGGATCTAACCTGCCAGTTTATCCTACCCATTGATTGTATTTTTCACTTCTAGAAGTTCTAGTTCTTTTTTTTTTCTTAGTTGGTTCTTTTACAAATACCAATGGCCTTCCAAAAAATAGGGTATCTGGTTTTTTCTCATATTACTTGTTCTTTTTTGTCTTTAGTCATTTAAAACATATTTATGTTGTGTTTCTATAATTCCATTGTCTGAGATTCTGAGGGTCTAATCTGTTGGTTTCCTGCAGACTCTCTCCCCTTGGTGGATTGTTTCCTTCTTGTTCTGTGATTCAGGATTGTGAATTCAGGTTGAGCTGGGCTTTTATCAGTGGAAATCCTTTATTGCCTCATTGGAGGTGGTGACTTCAGGAGAGGTTCTGCCTTTGCTTCTGCTGAGTGCCCCATGTCACTGCTTCAGGACCTAAATATTAATGTCTCAGTTGGAAGTTCACAGTTCATGCATGTGGTATTAGAGCCCCAAACCTGTGTGAGAGCAGCTCAATTCATAGCAGCAGTTCATGGTTGTGAATTCTTTTTTCTTCCCCTCATCCAGACCTAAGGTTCTCATCTCCCTTCCTTGGCGGCTGGCTTTTTCTCCTGGTCCATCCTGTCAGTGAAGATGTAGCCTCTCTGATTTCATTTGGGCACCAAGACCTCACCCCTGGCCCCTTGTAGCTACTTAAACCCAAGCCCCCTGCATCCCAAAATTGGCAGTACCCCAGAATAGGTGAAATGTTGGCTTCACTGTGCTCTGGATTTGTTTTCCTTTTGTATCTTCGTCTGGGGGACCTTACTTTCCTCTGTGCCCAGCTGTGTATTTAGAAGGATGATCATTAAAGTTTTCCAGTGTTTCTAAGTGGCTTATAAGAAGTGGATTTTTAGATTATCCGGTCCAGCATATTGCCAGACGTGAAAGCAGAGGACAGCTCCTGGGTTTGAATCCCAGCTTACGGTGGGCCAGTCACTTCTTTTTGAGCTTCGGTTTTCCTGTCTATAAGGTGGGCATGATGATAGAACCCACCTTATAGGGTTGTCAGGAGGATTAATAAGTTTACTTATGTGAACAATTTTGTACGATTTAAGTTTCCCCAAAACCAGTTCAAGTTGGTGTAATCTAAAAGGGGAAGTTATTGGCTCAGGTAACTCAAAGTTCAGGCCTGGCTGCATCCCGAGGCTCGGAGGACATCATCAGGAAGCTGTTTCTCACTTTCTTTTCGCCTCCTGCCCGCTGGCTTCTTCCTCCCACAGGCTGTCCCCGTGGGGGCAGAGATGGCAGGCGCTCCAGCAGCCCCAGCCTCACACCCCAGCGGGAAAGAGCGTTCTTCATTCCCAGTAGCATCACAGTAAATTCAGGGTTGCCCCTCTTCATGGACGAATCCCGCAGGGCTGGTGGACTGACAGCTCTGACTGTCCCGACCTGGTCATGCACCCCTCTCCACTGGCAGGGGTGGTAGCATTCACCTCTCTGAAACCACACCATCTGAGAATGGGGGTGGCATCTCCCCAGAGGGAAGGGGAGGGGCAATACCGGGTGGACAGAAAGAGCCGCTGCCTGCCATCTGTCCTGTCTCTCTTGTCTTCTAGCGTTTCCCAGCCAGCTACAGGTGCACATGGCACTACAGCTCTGCCCTCTGCTCGGGGACCACATGTACTCTGCCCGTGTGGCCACTGTTCTGGGCCAGCGCTTTCTGCTGCCTGCTGAGAGCACCAGGCCCCAAAGACAGGTACCCAAGCCCACCTGCCGGCTACCTTTTGGGGTGGGCTGGGGGTGGGGGTGGAGAGCATCTCCAGACACTAGCTATGCAGCTTGGGCTTCCATAGCTCCCTGTAGCCCTGTCTTGCTCTGTGGCCCTGAGCAAATGAAACCCCCTCTCTTGGGTCTCTTTCTGCCCATCTGTTCAATAAGGAAGTCGAACTGGCTGATTTCTAAAGGCCCTTCTAAGTCTGCCATTCTTTTTGGTATAAGGGGTAAAAGAGGTTGTGTGTGTCTATTTGGGTAACTCTGTCTGCTCTAACAATAACCTCAAGTACCAGAGCCTTAACACAATAACTTCCTTCCGTGTTAAGTCCAATTAATGGCGGTAGGGTAGAGATGGGCTTGCTCCAAGCATGGGTCACTCAGGGACCCAGGCTGCTGCTATCCAGCCAGCGGAGGAGGAGACAGGGCAGGTTCACGGGGGAGGTTTTCTCGGGCCAGATCCGGAAGCGGGATACACGCTCACACTCCTGTGGCATTCAGTGGGGCTCAATCACACGGCCTCACCGACCTGCAGGAGGGGCTGGGGAATGTAGTTTCGCTGAATGCCCAGGAAACCGATTCGGTGACCCCCTAGCTGGTCTCTGCCCGTAGTGTGTGTGTTTGAGTGTGTACGTGTGTACGTGTAGAGAGGCGTGCAGAACACGGACGCAGAGGGAGGAGGAAGTACTTGCCTCACTCCCATCTTGCTTAGAGCTCACCTGGCTGAATGCTGACATGTCTCTCCCACCCCAGGTCCTGGATGAAGCCCTCCTCCGCCGCCTCCACCTGACCCCCTCCCAGGCTGCCCAGCTGCCCCTGCACCTCCACCTGCATTGTCTCTACCTCCCAGGTGCCAGGCCCAGGGACCCACCCATCAAGCTTCTGGCACCTTTGCCCTCTTATTTCTCCAGGACCCTGCATTGCCTGGGGCTCCACTACCAATAGTCCTTCTGTTCCCGCTGGAAAGCAGTGGGGGTTGGAGGGCGGATGGGCTGCAGTCAGGCCCAAGGAGAGTGAGGTCAGTGCTCAACACGCAGAAGGCCACAGTGTAAGATCCTCTGTAGTTGGACAAATTTAAGATCACATCCTAAGGCCACTTGCTGTGCGGTGTTGGGCAAATGACTTCACCTCTCTGGACCTGAGATAAGAAAAGTACCTACCCTCATAGTATCGTTTTCAGGATTTGCTGAGAAGTAAAATGTTTATCATGGACCGTGGTTTCTGCTGAGCTCAGTATGTGGTCTTTATATCTGGCTGTTTCTGGCCCAATTCTAGCTGAGAGAAAATGTTAGGTTTTAAAAAAAAAATTGTGGTAAAATACACCTAATAAAATTTACCATCTTAACCATTTTTAAGTGTACATTTCAGAGGCATTAAGGACATTCACAGTGTCGTGCAGCCGTCACCACCATCCACCTCCAGAACTTTCTCATCTTCCCAAACTGAAACTCTCCCCATTAAACACCCACTCCCCCTCCCCCACCCCTCCCAGCCCCAGTTGCCACCATTCTGTCATCTGTCTCTATGTATTTGACTACTCATTTAAGTGAAGATGTTAGATCTTTCACTTTAAAAAACCGTGAAATATATGAAACATATAGAGTGCATAAAACATCTCTGTGATTTAAAGAATAACTCTAAGGTGACACCCACCTAACCACCACTCGGCACAAAACAGAAGCATCCCTTCTCCTATCCTAGACAACAGCAGCTCTCAACCCTGGCCCGACATGAGAACCCCCTACCCTGCCCACTCAGAAAGCTTAAAAAAAACACCCATGCCTCCCACGACTGCACCCCAAAGATGCTGGTTTCACCAGTCTGGGATGGAGACCCTGGCATCAGATCTTTTTTAAAAGCTCTGGAATGGGTACTGTTGTTCAGTCAAGGTTGGAAACCACTGCCCAGACTTGGGAGAATTCTTTGTTTTGTAGAGTTTTACCACATATACATGCAACCCTAAACAAAATATTTCATTTTGCCCTGCTTCCGAAGTTTCTGTTGGAATGGAATTGTGCTGCATATATCCTTTTGAGACTTGCTCTCGCTCTACCCTGTGAAATGCATCCGTTGTGTGGCGCATAGGTGGAATGTCAGAGCTTGCAGTCTACCCATCTGACTGTTAATGGACACTTAGGTCGTCAGCTGTTACCACAGTGCTGCTGTGAGCCTGCTTGTACGCATCTCCTGGTTCAACTGTGCAAGAATGGATTCATAAATATACAGAATTTATGTATCTTCATTTGACTAGTGTGTTAGTTTCCTAGGGCTGCTGCTGCAACAAATTACCACAACCTGAGGGGCCTAAAACAACAGAAATGGATTCTCTCCTAGTTCTGGAGGCCATAAGTCCAAAATCAAGGTGTCAGCAGGGCTGTGCTCTCCCTGAAGGTTCTAGGTGAGAATCCTTCCTTGCCTCTTCCTGGCTTGTGGCTGCATCACACCAGTCTCTGCCTCTGTCTCCACATGGCCTTCTCCTCGTTTGTCTTCTCTTGTCTCTTGTAAGGACACTTGTCATTGGATTTAGGCCCCATCTGGATAATCCAGGATGATCTCATCTAAAAATCTTTAACGTACTTACATCTACAAAGACCCTTTTTTCCAAATAAAGTCATATTGACAGGTTCCAGGAAGACATACCAATGTTCAACCCATTACAATTAAGAAATACCAAACTTTTTCAGATGGGTGTGGCTTATTGGATATTTCCTTTTTAGGTGACCTTGGCCCTTTGCAGAGGACGGGAGAGACCCACTTCATCTGGAGAAGGGCTGGGTCCACTCTTCTGCTGTGTCTCCTGCTGTAAATCTTGTGCCCATTATATGTCATTCTGCTGCCAGCCCAGCTCCTCCTCTGGGCTTGGGGACTGGGGAGACCCGCAGGGCTCAGCAGTCGTGGTAATGTGTCCCAGCCTTCTGCTCACTGCCACATGATCTTGGGCAAGCCATGTCTCCTCGTTCAGACTCAGTTTCCTCATCTGTAACATGAGACTTATCCTCCCACCCCGAGATCAGAGATGCCAGGGGAGTCCCTGGACAGGATGCCTCATGTCTGTCACTGGGTGGGAAGTTCTGGGCCTTGCTTTGTGGAGGAGTTGCTGATTGGCCTCTAGCTCTTGTTCTGGACCTTGGGGTACAGAGCCACACCCTACTCTCTCTTCACCCTCTAAGAGAAAAGGAGCCAAGCCTCAAATACTTCATTTGCTTTTTTACTTGGTGCTGCGTCCAGGATAAGGGCAGTGACGATCGAAGCGAGGACTTCTGTAGCCACACGTCCCTCATGCCCCCCAGACCCTGGTGTGCACTGATAAGGGGCAGGTGTCCTGGAAGGCTCAGTGTCGCCATGAGGCATGTCTCTGCCTTGGGTTTGTCGCAGAGTCTGGCCTTGAAGTTGCCTTTGGCCTTGATCTTCCTACGGGTGCTAGGAAGATTTCCGACTTCAAAGGGTTGAGACCACAAGTTACTTCCAAGTGGGGGACCATGAATGCGCTGGGGAGCAAGAGCCTCGGTGTGAAAGGAGGAGAGAAGATCAGGAATCTGTTCAGGAAGGGGGTTCTGAGGGATACAAGCCCTTCCCTTGGGGCTCAGGCCAGCCTGGGAGCTACCCTCTACCTGTGCCCTTCCAGCCCTAACCCCAGTTCTCAGCATTGCCCACCAGGGTATGGGTCACCGTTCGAGGCCCACCTTTCTTGGTTTCAGGGCGTTGGGTGCCAGCTTGAGCTCAGGGTTAGGTGGGAGGGAAATCAAAACCTTGGCAGTAGGTAGAGTCATCAAGGCCTTGCCTGTGGTCGACAGGGCCTCAGAGCCCACCAGCCTGCTGTGCTGCAGTCTGAGGCCCCGCCCCTGGGGTCGGAGCACACGGGGAGAAGGCAGCTGGGCCGTGCTGTGGAGGGTGGGGAAGTGGTGATGGGCTGTGAGGGCCTGGGGAGCCCCAGGCTTACCAGCTGCCCCTCCAGGTGTGCATGGAGGGCGGGGAGGCAGGGGGAGCTGACGGCTGGGGTGTGTGAGGGCAGATGGGGCCCACCTGGTTCCTTCTCCAGAGGCTGTGGGAAGAACACAGGGTTTGGAGTCCAACAGACCTGGGTCTGCATCCCAGCTCTGCCCCTTCGGAGCTGTGCAACCTCGGGCAACTTCCTTAAACTTCCTGATACCTCAGCTGGAAAACGGGGATAATAGCACCTACCTCGCTAGGTTGTGAGGACTAAAGGAGCTGGTCAGGTATCAACACAGTGTAAACTGTGAAGTGCTGTACAAATATTAGTTCCTTTCCACAAGGTGACTTTACATGGAGGCAAAGACAGAATACTGCAGCAGGAAAAGCTTGGGCTCTGGAGAGAGATCAACCTGGGACTGAGACCTGGCATCTTTGAAATGAGCACAACTGCCTGGCTGAGTGACTACTTTGGAAGGGACAATACTCATTTGGCTGTGTGTTTTTTAAAAATACTTTGTAAATGGTGGCTTTTACTTACTACCGGTGGCTCTTGGGTGGGGACAAATCCAGGTGGTTAGGAGGGGCTTGGAGAGCAGGAAGCAATTGCCTTGAGACCCTGGGGTGTTTTGGGGGAATGGTCTTACCCAGGGCCTGGGGGTTCTTCAGACTCAATGGCAATCTGTTCAAGGGGTGGGGATGCCTGTCCCCACTAGCAAAGGTCATGGTGAAAATGCAGCCCATCATCGTGCTGCGGGGGGTCCCACTTCCGGAGACTGGGGCGGACCAGGGCTATGGCACTTTTCGCCTTGCCTTTCTTCCCCTTTCCAGGGGCCGAGGTGGTGGCAGTGGAGTCTGGCTTCTCAGTGTGCCTCAGGCTCCTGGCCCCAGCAACTTTCCTAGAAGCTGACCTGTGGGTAAGGGTTCCCGAGTCCTTGCCTTCCCCAGAGCCTCGCTGGGTCAGCAGGTGAGGGAGGGCTGGGCGGACTTCTATTTGCCGGTGACACATCGCCAGGGGCTTCTTGATGGTGGAGCCCTCTACTAGAAGCCGGATACCCACATACTGGGGCACCTCCACGGCAGGCTGTGGGGAAGAAGAGGAGACAAGGCCTGCTCAGACAGTGCTGCTGGAATCCTAGGCCTGGAAGGACTTGGAGCACAGGTAGGTGGAATTAACTTCTGGGGCACCTGGTCAGGAGACATTTCTGGGCTGAGAAATGCAAAGCCCATCTCTGTCTCTTAAGGGGTCTGGGCCTGGAGGCCTGAATCAGTACCTAGAGGGTCACAGAGCCCCTGAGATGAGTAACCCAGAGGAGTGGGGAAGTCTTAGCCATGCCCCCACCTGCACCCCTCCAACCCCTTGCTTTCCTAAACTGCCCAGCCGCCGCTGGAATGTGTGTTCTCCTCCACAGGCCGCTGCCGATGGACAGCTTCCTGAGATGAGCGAGATTCTCTGCTGAGAGCATATGAGTTATGACACCCAGAGAGATAAGAGGCCTGGAGCCTGCCTAAATCCTTGTCTGAACCCAAGACATGGGGAAGCAGAGCCTCAAAGTAGGCATTCTGTGGAAAGCATGAAGTAGCAAATATGCAGATGGAGGCAGAGAAAACAGCCCAAGAAAGGAGCTCCTGTACCACTTTCAATTCCCATTAAGCCAAGCTGTACTTCCTGCAGCTGGACACAGGAGAGCCCCCTGTGTCTTGCCAGGAATCTCCTTTTATTTTTTATTTATTATTATTATTTTTTGGCCACACCACATGGCTGCGGGATCTTAGTTCCCCGACCAGGGAGCGAACCCATGCTCCTTGCCATGGAAGCACGGAGTCTTAACCACTGGACTGCCAGGGAAGTTCCTAGGAACCCTCCTTTTAATCTGGAGCTAGTATGAGGTGTTTTCTGCGTCATAAAAAGATCCTGATTAGAATCTATCTAAACAGTCACTTGGAGCTTCTTAAAAATACAGATATCAAGGTCCTACTGTATAGCACAGGGAACTACATTCAATATCCTGGAATAAACCATAAAGGAAAAGAATATGAAAAAGAATGTACGTATATGTATAACTGAATCACTTTGCTGTAGAGCAGAAGTTAACACAACATTGTAAATCAACTATACTTCAATAAAAAAAAAATACAGATATCAGAGCTCAAGGAAAGCCCCAGTCGATGAGGCAAAGCTCAACTTTATGGAAAAATCTCAGCTAATAAACGTAGAAGGAATGATAGAATTAGCAATTTACCATTTTGCAACTCTAATACAATAGGTAAGAATCAAAACTAGATATCAAAACAAGTAGGTGAAAAGGATAACAGGAAAATGTGTCATCTGCACACTGCCAAAGAATCACCCTACAAAGAAACTGATCATTGCCAAGGGGAGGATGCAACTTACAATGGAGAGATCTGGTAGCCAAGCCCTTAAAGCCATGGTCAGACTTAGCATCACTAATCATGAGATACTCCGGCAATGTGTGATGCTGTATGAGGTACCCAGCATCACCTCTCAAGTATACTTGCCAAAAATGTGTAATCTGAACTTCATCAAGCTGTGTGACCTAACTTCTACTTTATAGGACATTCAGATAACAGATGAACAAGTTAAATACCACCATGAGGAAACAATCAGATAAATCCAGAATGTGGGACAGTTCCGTAAAACAACCAGCCTGGTGCCTTCAAAAGATCCAAATATGGGGAAAAAAAGCAGTGGGGCTGTTCTAGATTATAAGAGATTAAAGAACACCAAAGAGAATAAAATACCCAGGAATAAATTTAACCAAGGAGGTGAAAGACCTGTACACTGTAAACTGTAAGACACTGAAGAAAGAAACCGAAGATGACACAAATAAATGGAAAGATATTCTGTACTCAAGAAGTGGAAGAATTAATATTATTAAAATGTGTATACCACCCAAAGGAATCTATAGGTTCAATGCAATCCCTATCAAAATTCCAATGATATTTTTCACAAAAAGAGAAAAATCAATCCCCAAATATGTATGGAGCCACATAAGACCCCAAATAGTCAAAGAAATCTTGAGAAAGAACAAAGCTGGAGGCATCACACTTCCTGACTTCAAACCATATTACAAAGCTATAGTGATCAAAATAGTATGATACTGGCATAAAAACAGACATGCAGATCAATGGAACAGAATTAAAAGCCCAGAAATAAAACCACACTTATGTGGTCAGTTAATTCATGACAAAGGAGACAAGAATATACAGTCTCTTTAATAAACAGTGTCAGGAAAACTGGACAGCCACATGCAAAAGAATAAAACTGGACCACTATCTTACACCATACAGAAATATCAACTCAAATGGATTAAAGACTTGAACATAAGACCTTAAACCATAAAACTCCTAGAAGAAAACAGGCAGGAAGTTCCTTCACATCAATCTTGGCAATGATTTTTTGGATTTGACACCAAAAGCAAAGGCAACAAAAGCAAAAATAAACAAACTAAAAAGCTTCTGCACAGTGAAGAAAATCATCAACAAAATCAAAAGACAACCTACCAGATTGGTTCAAGATGGCGGAGTAGAAGGACGTGAGCTCACTCCCTCTTGCGAGAGCACCGGAATCACAACTAACTGCTGAACAATCATGGACAGGAAGACACTGGAACTCACCAAAAAAGATACCCCACATCCAAAGACAAAGGAGGAGCCGCAATGAGATGGCAGGAGGGGCACAATCACAATAAAATCATATCCCATAACTGCTGGGTGGGTGGCTCACAGACTGGAGAACACTTATACCACAGAATTCCACCCACTGGAGTGAAGGTTCTGAGCCCCACGTCAGGCTTCCCAACCTGGGCGTCCAGCAACGGGAGGAGGAATTCCTAGAGAATCAGACTTTGAAGGCTAGTGGGATTTGATTGCAGGACTTCAACAGGACCGGGGGAAACAGACACTCCACTATGGATGGCACACACAAAGTAATATGCACATCGGGACCCAGGGGAAGGAGCAGTGACCCCACAGGAGACTGAACCAGAGCTAACTGCTAGCGTTGAAGGGTTTCCTGCAGAGGCGGGGGGGGGGGGGGGGGGGGGGGGGGGGGGGGAGGGTGTGGCTCACCTTGAGGACAAGGACACTGGCAGCAAAAGTTCTGGGAAGTACTCCTTGGCGTGAGCCCTCCCGGAGTCTGCCATTAGCCCCACCAAAGAGCAGGGTAGGATCCAGTGCTGGGTCACGTCAGGCCAAACAACCAACAGGGAGGGAACCCACCCCACCCATCAGCAGACAAGTAGATTAAAGTTTTACTGAGCTCTGCCCACCAGAGCAACAAACAGCTCTACCCACAGCTCTTCTCTCCCATCAGGAAACTTGCACAAGCCTCTTAGATAGCCTCATCCACCAGAGGGCAGACAGCAGAAACAAGAAAAACTACAATCCTGCAGCCTGTGGAACAAAAACCACATTCACAGAAAGACAGACAAGATGAAAAGGCAGAGTACTATGTCCCAGATGAAGGAACAAGATAAAACACCAGAAAAACAACTAAATGAAGTGGAGATAGGCAGCCTTCTAGAAAAAGAATTCAGAATAATGATAGTGAAGATGATGCAGGACCTCAGAAAAAGAATGGAGGCAAAGATGGAGAAGATGCAAGAAATGTTTAACAAAGACCTAGAAGAATTAAAGAACAAACAAACAGAGATGAGCAGTACAATAACTGAAATGAAAAATCCATTTGAAGGAATCAATAGCAGAATAACTGAGATAGAAGAACGGATAAGTGACCTGGAAGACAGAATGGTGGAATTCACTGCTGCCGAACAGAATAAAGAAAAAAGAATGAAAAGAACTGAAGACAGCCTAAGAGACCTCTGAGACAACATTAAACACAACAACATTCGCATGATAGGGGTCCCAGAAGGAGAAGAGAGAGAGAGAAAGGACCCGAGAAACTATTTGAAGAGATTATAGTTGAAAACTTCCCTAACACGGGAAAGGAAATAGCCACCCAAGTCCAGAAAGCGCAGAGTCCCAGGCAGGATAAACCCAAGGAGAAACACGCTGAGAAACATAGTAATCAAATTGACAAAAATCAAAGACAAAGAAAAGTCACTGAAAGCAACGAGGGGAAAACGACAAATAACATACAAGGGAACTCCCATAAGGTTAACAGCTGATTTCTCAGTAGAAACTCTACAAGCCAGAAGGGAGTGGCATGATATATTTAAAGTGATGAAAGGGAAGAACTTACAACCAAGATTACTCTACCTGGCAAGGATCTCATTCACATTCGATGGAGAAATCAAAAGCTTTACAGACAAGCAAAAGCTAAGAGAATTCAGCACCACCAAACCAGCTCTACAACAAATGCTAAAGGAACTTCTCTAACTGGGAAACACAAGAGAAGAAAAGGACCTACAAAAACAAACCCATTACAATTAAGAAAATGATAACAGGAACATACATATCTATAATTACCTTAAACGAGAATGGATTAAATGCTCCAACCAAAAGACACAGGCTCGCTAATTGGATACAAAAACAAGACCTATATATACGCTGTCTACAAGAGACCCACTTCAGGCCTAGGGACATACACAGACTGAAAATAAGGGGATGGAAAAAGATATTCCATGCAAATGGAAATCAAAAGAAAGCTGGAGTAACAATACTCCTATCAGATAAAATAGACTTTAAAATAAAGAATGTTACAAGAGACAAGGCAGGACACTACATATTCAAGGGATCAATTGACGAAGATATAACAATTCTAAATATATATGCACCCAACACATGAACACCTCGATACATAAAGCAAGTGCTAACAGCTATAAAAGAAGAAATCGACAGTAGCACAATAATAGTAGGGGACTTTAACACCTCACTTACACCAATGGACAGATCATCCAAACAGAAAATTAATAAGGAAACACAAGCTTTAAATGACACAACAGACCAGACAGATTTAATAGATATTTATAGGACATTCCATGCAAAAACAGCAGATTACACTTTCTTCTCAAGTACACATGGAACATTCTCCAGGATAGATCACATCTTGGGTCACAAATCAAGCCTCAGTAAATTTAAGAAAATCGAAATCATATCAAG